TCCATCTCCTGCTTTTGGTTGTGTGCCCCTCCATAAGTTCTATTTGTTCTTAGCCTCAGTTTCCTCCTCTATAAAACAGGGGAAACCATTCATGTCTCAAGGTTATGAGGATGAAATGGGGTTTTGGATGTCAGATGCTTAGCCTAATGCCTGCTAATCAGGAAGGGCTTACTAACTGGTGGTGGTAGTATGATGCCATGAAGGGTTCTGAGGCTTAGGCCCCTAACCTTTCCTCAGCCCAGCCCCATCTAATCAGGGGGACCCAAGAATTTGTAACTTATGGCCAGGCCCTTCATGGCCCCAGAACTGTCCTGGGACTCCTGACCCTTTGTGTCTTCAGACAGCACCCAAGAAAACCTCATTTGGCTCGCTGAAGGATGAAGACCGGATCTTCACCAACCTGTATGGCCGCCATGACTGGAGGTGAGATGGTGGTGTCCTTAGCTCGGTGGGTGGTCCTGGAGCATCCCCTTCAATGCCTTTCCCACTCTGTCCAGGCTGAAAGGTGCCCAGAGTCGAGGTGACTGGTACAAGACAAAGGAGATCTTGCTGAAGGGGCCTGACTGGATCCTGGGTGAGGTCAAGACATCCGGCTTGCGGGGCCGTGGAGGTGCTGGCTTCCCCACTGGCCTCAAATGGAGCTTCATGAATAAACCCTCAGATGGCAGGTATCTGTAGGGAGGCAGAGATGGGGTTGCAGGAGAAACCTTGGAGGTAGCTGTGGCTTACCTGGGCCTTGGGGCTGTTTCCTTGGAAACTTAAGACTGAATGAATGGGAAAATGTCACCAGAGCTTAAGTAGGTGGGACTTAGTTCTGTCTGGTCTTCCTCAGGGGTAGCAGAATCGACACAAGATTTTGACTCAGGCATTGGTCAATTCTGCCTTCTAATTATATAGTTCTGTGCAGTCTCCTGGTCTTTTTGAACTCAGTTTTCTTTTTTGTAAGTAGATATTATATTGTGCAGGGATTAAATAGATAGTATTCATACAGCTTTTGGCCCTCACATTGATGGCACATAGAAAGCAAATGATATACGTCATCCACTTTACCTCCTTTTGACCCCAGAGACATGGCAGAGGTTCAGGAAGGTTCTGTGTGACCAAGAGCAGATTCTGGGCTCTTAGGAAAGCACAAGGGGACATTTGGACCGAGCAGAACAAAGACCTTTCCTGTGGTCATAGCCATCCAAAGACGTAATAGGCAGTGAGCTCTCTGTCATTGATGGTGAGCAAGCAGAGCCCCTGGGAACATGCTGGGAGGACAGGGAGGGATTGGCTATCAGAGGAGACATCTTTGAGGCCTCCTTGGGTGGAGTGGGGTGGCGTGTAATTGAAGGCCCAGCCCTGGTGGCCCTATAGCCTCACTGATATGCTGGCACCCACAGGCCCAAGTATCTAGTTGTGAATGCAGACGAGGGGGAGCCAGGCACCTGCAAGGACCGGGAGATCATGCGCCACGATCCGCACAAGCTGGTGGAAGGCTGCCTAGTTGGGGGCCGGGCCATGGGCGCCCGTGCTGCCTACATCTACATCCGAGGGGAATTCTACAATGAGGCTTCCAATCTGCAGGTGGGAAAGGGGAGGGGCCTCCACAGAGGGGAGGGTGCTCAGTGTGTGTGGCCCCCAAAGCTGCCTCCAGGCTCTTTCTGTATGTTTCAAAGCCTCAACTTGGGAGGCTTTCAGGGCTCTGTGACTCCTGGGGCAGGGGGGGGCTCGCAGGCGTTTTTCCTGCAGAAGGGTCAAGGGGTCATTTCAGCCATTCTGAGCTTGGTGGCACCTGCAATGATGGGTCTAGGGCCAGAGCCTCACACCATTCTATTAGGCTCTCGCCTTAACCGTGAGAAGGGATATGGGAACGGCACCTGGGACAGTGCCTGGCACATAGTAGCAGTTATGTATAAGTGTTATTGCTACATATTTAAAAACCAACCTCAAGGGTCTTTTCCTCTGTTGCAGAAGTAGCACTCATTATAAAGATAGGAAACCGTACCCATACACAAGTCTTCCACAGATCCACTACCTGTAGGAAACTGCTTATTAAAATTTTCATGATTTCCTCAGCCTTTCTTTTAAAAATACATGTAGTTGGAGAATTTGTTAAGTGTTGTTATTACAAAAATCGCACACACATTGTAAAAATCCCCACCCCTCTCTCAGAGCATCCTCTGCTCATGTCCAAGGGGAGCTTTTTCCTGGACTTTGGTGAACATGGGCTCCTGGGCCAGTTCCTGTCCCCACCACACAGTGTTCCCGGGTTGGCGGGAGTGGTGCCCTCACACTTCTGTCCCACAGGTGGCCATCCGAGAGGCCTATGAGGCTGGTCTGATTGGCAAGAACGCCTGCGGCTCTGGCTATGATTTTGATGTGTTTGTTGTGCGTGGGGCTGGGGCCTACATCTGTGGGGAGGAGACGGCACTCATCGAGTCCATCGAGGGCAAGCAGGGCAAGCCCCGCCTGAAGCCACCTTTCCCTGCTGACGTGGGTAAGAGCCGGCCCAATCCTGGGCCTTTTGCTGTGTCCTGTGGAATCCCATCTGGCTTCAGGTCCCCACTGGTCATTCTTAGGGGATTTCTGAGTTCCTTCTGGACTCGGGGCCAGAGTAGGGTGGTAACAACATAGAGGCTCTGCCTGCAGTCCCTCATGCCCCCATGTCAGACACCCAGCTCCTCTCCAGCCCTCCAGGGACTAGGGGGAGAGGGCTGAAAAGGCGGTGCAGTGCCTGCTAGAGTTTGGGGTCTAATCGGGGATGGGAATGACAGAAAGGGGAAGGGGAGCTGGATCACAGAGCAGGACCCTAGGACAGACCCCACTGCTGGGAAACCTGATCCAACCTGTCCCCACCCTCTGGTGGCCCCAGTCCCTCATCCCATTCCTCCATAGGAGTGTTCGGTTGCCCCACAACCGTGGCCAACGTGGAGACAGTGGCTGTGTCCCCCACCATCTGCCGCCGTGGGGGTGCATGGTTTGCCAGTTTTGGTCGTGAGCGCAACTCGGGCACCAAGCTGTTCAATATCTCTGGCCACGTCAACCACCCTTGCACCGTGGAGGAGGAGATGTCTGTACCGCTGAAGGAACTGATTGAAAAGCATGCCGGTGAGGCCTGGGGCCACCCAGGGCCGGAGCAGGGCAGGATGTCAGTGAAGAGAGCCAGGGTGGGAGGGCCTCGTGAGGCAGCTCTGTGCAGGGGCTGACAGAGGTCCTGGGCTCAGGACTAGGCAGGTGTGCTGGTCCTAACCCTGACCATCCATCCTTTTGGGGACTGACTATGGTCCCAGGGGGTGTCATAGGTGGCTGGGACAACCTCCTTGCTGTGATCCCCGGTGGCTCATCCACACCACTGATCCCCAAGTCGGTGTGTGAGACAGTGCTCATGGACTTTGACGCGCTGGTGCAGGTACAGACGGGCCTGGGCACGGCCGCTGTGATTGTCATGGACCGCTCGGTAAGGGCTGCCTCTGCTCCTCACCCAGTCAGTACCCCTCCCTGGGGCATTGCCAGCTCTTGGATCCCAGTTCCTTTGACCTGAGATACAGTCAAGTGGGAGAGGAGAGAAATCATCCCCGAGAGAATGCCTGTTGGGGTCTGGGCAGTGCCGGAAGTCTGGGGTGGGGGAGGAGGTGGCCAGAATGCTGCCGGAATCAGGGGATTGCTGCTGGGGGGCTGAGGCTCCGGCCTGGGGGGGCCTGCTCACTGTCTCTGGTCACCCCAGACAGATGTTGTGAAAGCCATTGCCCGCCTTATTGAGTTCTACAAGCACGAGAGCTGTGGCCAGTGCACCCCATGCCGCGAGGGTGAGCACCCGGGGCGGGGTGGGGGCTTTCTCTGTGGCTCACCTAGGCCTAGGTCAGGCAGACGGGCAAAGGTTGGGTGGGCTCTGGACACTGAATGGACAGCTGCTGGTTCCCAGCCAGCCGTAGCTTCTCTCGGCCCCACCCTCCCAGTGGCCCACACCCTTGGAGTGCTATTCCCCACGCCTGGCTGAGGATCATCGGGCCCTCTCTTGCTGCCGTGGCTGCAGGTGTGGACTGGATGAACAAGGTGATGGCCCGCTTTGTGAAGGGGGACGCCCGGCCAGCCGAGATCGACTCCCTCTGGGAGATCAGCAAACAGATAGAGGGACACACCATTTGTGCCCTGGGTGATGGAGCCGCCTGGCCTGTGCAGGTACTCGCTGCCCTGCTTGTGGGCGCTGTGGTGGGTGTGCTGAGGGCTTAGCGTACTGGGATTTTGAGCTCTGCTTCACCGTGTCTCCTACTCGCCTCCAGGGCCTGATCCGCCACTTTCGGCCGGAGCTTGAGGAGCGGATGCAGAGGTTTGCCCTGCAGCACCAGGCCAGGCAAGCTGCCTCCTGAGCCTGCTGCCTTGCGCTGATGTCCATCTGTCCAGATGGCAGGACAATAAAGTCACTGCTGCCCACTTTCCTGATGTGTCTTTTCTGTGGCCTTGCTCTTCACTCTGCCACTGTAGCCCATTACTCATGGAAGTCTATTTCCCAGACAGAGTTAGAGGCTTCCCATACCCTGCGCTTGGACCCCACTTGTGGGTGGGGATAGGTCAACTCAAGGTCATGTCACGAATCCACACCTTGGCTTCCCGTGGGTCAGTCGGTCTGCCCTAGACCATCTTGAGCGCCCATCCCTCAGTGCAGATGGCAGCGGCGGTGGGGACAGGGGGCTTTCCCAGTGTGACAAGGGGAAAACGGTGGCCTGGGGTCCAGACCTGGGCCTGGCCCTGACTGGGCTTCTGGAGAGTGGGAGCAGGGAGAACAGGGCCCAGTCTGCCCTGTGAGGTGATGGGCAGGGGAAAGAACAGACTCCGTCTGTTCTGGTTTGCAGGTTTATTCTTGCTTCATGATTGGCAGTGGGGTGAATTTGAAAGGGGGGGTAAGGAAGCAGACTGACATGGGGCTGGGCATGGTGGGTGGGGCAGCGCCAGGTCCTCCCAGCTCTACGGGTCAGTTTTGGGGAGGGTGGTGAGCAGGGCCAGGCCGGGTTCCCCTTCTAGTCATCGAGCGGGAGGGGCGTGCCATCCAGCGGGTGCCACAGCTCCAGTCGGCAGTCACTGCAGCCCAGGCATTCACACCAGTGCCGCTGGCGTTCCCCGCCGGCCTGGCTACTCAGCTGTACCCCGCCTGGGTTGGGGGACGGGTTAGGAGCCATGTGGGAGCCCATTGGGTCCCTCACCCCACTCCCCTGCATTCTCACCAATGAAGTCGTCAGCTGTGCCCAGGTCATAGTCCCACACAGACACCAGCAGCGTTTTCTGGGCCAGCTCCTCCCTCGGGCCTGTGTAGAAGAACTCCTGCAGGGAAGGGGGCAGAAAGGCAGGAAGGAGGGGGCCTTGAGTCCTTTACAGGTTCAGAGACAGGCTCAGGGAGGTGAGTTGCTCAGGTTAGGGGACGGGACTTGTGCCTTCTGAGTGAGACGGAACACTGACCTCCCCAACCCCAGAGCAGCTAGGACTGCCTCCACCTGACCCTGGCCTACCTCATTGAACTCGGGGTTCAGGGTCTTCTTCCGAACACTGGTCTTGTATTTAGATCTCTTCCCCACATTTGGACGCAGGAGACTGGTTGGGAAAGATGGAGTCGGGTTAGGTGTGGCCCTGGAGGGGGGCTCTGGGGAAGCCCCGCTGCCCACCTGCCTGTCTCCCCGTGTACACTCACAGGCGGACAAAGGGGTCCGAGTAGCCGTTGGCGTCCATGGGGGCGAGGTGGGCGCAGCGCAGCACGCCCACCTGCAGGCCGCCCTGCCGAGAGCTGTAGCACAGGGACAGCAGGATGCGCCCGCGCTCCTCCCCTGCGGCCTCCCCCTCCTCCTGCAGGGGTGGGCTGTGGTCAGCGGGTGCGGGCCAGAGCCCACCGTCAGCCCCCACGGGACAACTTGCGCTGGCTACAGAAAAATCAGGGGCCAACAATTTAATGTCACAATTCCGCTTCCAAAAACAGTCACTGGCCTGGTTCCCTGGAAGGGAGCTTCCAGATCCGCCGGCCCCCCCAGGGCCTGCGAAGGGGAGGGGCTTACTCAGACCATGGTACTGGTCAGCCCAGTGCATCGTCACGGAGGGGAAGGGCACTGGTGTCTGAGTGGCACAAACATGCTAGGAGCTTCCTAAGTGGCCTCTCACTAAGCGCCCATCGCCACCCTCCCCCGTGTCACAGAAGCAGCTCCAAGAGGCTGTTCTCTACCTGACTGACACAGAGGTCACTAAAGTTACCAACCCCACCGTCTTCACCCCCCACCGCCCAGGGGCCCGAATGGCCTTCACCACCCTCAGCCCCTGGTGCTTGCAAAGGACTTGGGGAGGAGGCCCAGGAAGAATGTGCTTCTCCCATACTTCACATAGGATTCAGTTTACAGAAAGCCTAACCACCTTGCTCACATTCACTTCTCAGTAAAGGATATTCCATAAGCACCAGCCTTGCGCAGTGGTGCTTCTGTGTTGCGGGGCTGGGACAGGAAGTCCGCCTCTCAGGGGGCCTGCCCCACCTGGGTGGGACTTGCCAGCCTGGCCTTGGCTAATTGGCAGGTGCAGCAACTTGCGGCTCCACCAGGCGGCAGACAGCAGCACCTGGCCCTTCCGTCCTAGAGGAGCTGGGGAGGGCCTGCCCTCAGCCTTGCAGGTGCCTCACCCCAGCTGAGCCGGGGGTGGGGTTGGGGTTCTGGCCATGCCTTTGGTCTTTGGCATAGGGCCCCCTGCAGTCATCTCTGCCTCCCGACAAGGGCCTGTCTAGGGCTACTAGCCCCAGAAGTGGTACCCACAATGCCCTAGGGATCGACCTAGAAGCCAGGGAGCCCCACCTGCTGTCCATTCTCTCCTGGACCTTGACCTGCCCTCCCAACTTGGGCCATGGACAGAGCCCACCAGTTTCAGCCTCTGCTTCCACCTGGCTTGTGTGTCTGCTTCTGAGGGCTTTGCTTGTCCCAGTACCCAGTAGTTGCTCTGGGCTGCCCTGGCCGGGGTGTCACCCTCCCTGCCCAGGCACTGGGGTCTGGCTGTTCCCTGGGGCTATGAATGCTAGGGCCTGTGAGAGAGATGGCCTCAGTTTCCCCAAGCCCACCTGGGCCTGGACACACCCCCTCAGCCCATCTCAGGCCCTGCCTGATGCACTTCAGCCTGGGCCCCCAGGCCTGCCCCCCCATCCCTGCTTGGTCCCACTGTCCTACCCACCTCCTCATACAGGGACATGCCACGGGCTGTGTCCAGGCTCTTGGGCCTCCTGGTCTGAAAGAGCAGAGAGCCTGGTCACCTTGGCCAGACATTGCCCAGGGTCCCCCTCCTTGCTCCTCCCCTTTCCAGCTTCCCCACCACAAGGATCTTGGTACCCACACCCCAACCTGTGCCAGTCCCACTCACCAGCTTCTGCTTCTCCAGACACACATCGAAGCTCCTGGCTCGATTGGGCACCAGCTTCCTCAGGGGCACCCTCAGCTCCCCCAGGGGAAGCGCCCGCCGCCGTCGCCGCAGCCATGGGTCCTCACACACACACAGCCTGGTGGTCCCCCGGGTCAGACCTGGCCAGGCAAGCCTCCCCCCACCCCCCACCTCAGCCTTGTCGCCTTGTGGCCCAGGCCAGGTCCTCACCGCAGAGTCTTTCGCCCAGCGTCCTGGCGGGTGAAGCCATGATAGGTGAGTGTCTCCTCCCAGACAGGCCCCCTTGTGCCCCGAACTGTGCGGGTCTGCAGCTGGCTGGCCTGTGGGCCAGGTAGGGTGGATCAGGGCCTCCTTGGGCCCCAGAGCCCCACTCTGGCCCACTGCCCTGGTAGGCCCCCCATTGCACATCCCAGCAATGGGGGGCTCCATGCCTGATGTCCAGGTTTTGGCGGGGAGGGGCAGGGCGGGGCCAGGTGGGTGTTCCGGGCTGGGTGCAGCCAAGGGGCATCAGTAGGGGCCTGGGTGTCACCCTCACCTTGCTGGCCCCTGGCAGCAGATTGGCTTTGACATAGATGTCCACAGAGCCCGAGGCAGGTGGCTTGAGACCCTGAGAAGAGACAATGAATGTGGGGCAGGCCTGTGACCCAGGCCCTTTGCCCATTGACCCCCGCCCCCATCCTCACCTTGGCACAGTGAGCCGTGCAGTGCAGGGCGCTGTTGTCCGCGTCAAAAAGAAGCGTGAACTCGAGTGTTCCCAGGGCAGCTAATGGCAGGTGGCAGGCAGGGTCAGCTCCTACCTCGACCCCTGCCCCATCCCCCAAATGGCACCATGGCTCCTGCCCTGCCCCTCCCCGGTCGGATGCCTGGGGTGCCCCAAACCCTACCCTGACCAGGCCGGGCCAGGAGTGTTCCCCTGGTCCCCTGCCCCCACTCACTGCTGTCGTCTGAATCTCCCTCTGGCTCTGGGTCAGGCTGCGGCTGGGGTGCAGAGCGTATGGCAGGGGTCACTGCAGGGTGTGGCTCTGGGGTGCGCAGGGTGTGCTTAGCGAAGGGGTAGAAGTGTGGGAAATAGTCGGAAATGCGGTGGATGGGCTGGGTGGGGCCGGGGCTCACATCAATGGCCATGTGCTCCTGCATGCTCACCCGCTGTGGCCGCCCCCTGCTCACGGCCCGCAGTGCCTGCCATGGGGGCTTGGACATGGGGGCAGGGACTCAGAGAAGCCCCCACGGGCTGGAGACGGGGGGAGTGCAGCGGGCCAAGGAGCCAGGGTGAAGAGGCATCCCTGAGGGCGCTGAGGGGGGTCTTGGGTGGCAGCCAGGACCTGAGGACAGAGTGCAGCGTCAAAGCAGGTGGGGTGGGGGAGAACTGGGGGGCTCCAACCTGAAGGAGGCCCCCGGGGTACTGGTAGTTAGGCCCGCGGGTACTCACCGCTCTGTGAGCTCCTCCACCTGGCTTGGTTCGCTGAGTATAAGCCAGACTGGGGTGACCCTCAAGAGCAAGAGCCTGAGCAAAGGGCCTCCCAGAACCCGTGAGGGAGGGGGAAGGGGCGGGGCTCGGGAGGCTGGCACCTCTCTGTCTTCAACCCCTAGGGTCCCTTCTTTAGTGCAGGGGCTCAGCCGCCCACCTCCCTCACCCCCACTTCACACACTGTCAGAGTTATTTTTACCACCATCACGCGCCCTGCTCCCGCGGGAGGAGTCTGGAGGGCCAGAGATGACACAAGGGGTGTGAAGTGTGAGGGGCAATGGGAAGGGCCTGTGAAGGAAGGGGTAGGTGAGGCAGGAGGGATGCTGGGGGAGGGAGCACGTGGGGAGGTGTGTGGGAGTGGATGGTGGTGGGGGGGACACTTTGGGAGGTGTGGAGGGGGCGCACGGGAGGTGAGGTGACAGGGCTCCTGTGGAGCGGGGATGGGTGCCCAGGGAGGAGACTCCAAGGAGGAGGGCGTCTGCAATCCGGGCCTCTTGCAGCCCAAGCTTTACAAAACACGAAACTTATCACTTCAACACCTGTCTGCCCCTCTCCCAGCCTGGAAAAAAATCCTAACCCCCCACTGAAGCATGTCCCCTTGACACCCCATGGTGGCCCCTGAGTGGTGGAGCCCCTCCCTACCCCCACATTGCTAATCTTGTTTCCTCGAACACCCCAAACTTTGTGCATATGCTGCTCCTTCTGCTCCAACTTCCCTCCTTTGCCCTTTGATCTGGCCTGCTCTTGCCCACCTTTGGTTTCAAGGTCACTCTGCAGGGGAACTTGGCTGGTTTTTTACCTACTCAACCTTCCCTTCTCTCTTCCCATTGGTCCTTTGGGGACTGCCCCTTCCCTAGTCTCAGTCTAGAAGGTTCATCCTCCTCCCCAGTTCTCTGCCCACAGACCCTGCCAAACAATTAATTCCAACTAGAGCAGGCCATGTGACAGGCTCAGGGAGGGCCAACGAAGTACAGCTCTGGGTTAAACGGCCAGAGAGAGAAGCTCTGTTTTCTGTTGATGGGATGCTGGTGCTGTGCCACCCTACAGCTGTTGCCCTCTCCTTACCTCTCACCCCTGCAGAGTAGAGATTCTCCAAGAGTGAGGCCGACACGGTGGAAAGCACAGTAAGAGAAAGCCCCTGAGCCCCTGGATCCAGCCATGCCTGAAGGTAGTGTATTTCGAGTTTATCCTCTTTTGGCAAAGTTGTCTAGTGGGTGGAGTTTCCTATCACCTGTCCTGGCTAATATTGCCCAGTCCACCATGACAAGGTCAGACTGCTTACCACCTCTCTCTGGTCCACATAACTGATGTATAATTCCACTATTATCTGTGATTAATTAATATACAATCACATGATTATGTGGGACCTGCTCTGAGGTCTTCCCCAGACTGAGTCACGCCCAGAGGCCAGGGCAGCATCTGAAGCTAAGGCCCCAGCACAGTACCTGGAGCATGGTAGGAGCTGGGCGTGTTGGAACTCTGCAGTAACAAGTGGGGCTCCTCTTTGGACTCCTGCAGGCTGGCACGGGGTCAGCTAGACACAGAGGTGGGAGCAGGAACTGGCTGAGTAGTGGCTGAGTGTGGCCTCTAGAGTCAGAGAGGGCTTGGCAAAAGTTCTAGCTTGGGGTGACCTTGGGCAAGGTGTCTCTTCTCTCTGAGCCCTGGTCTCACCGGCCAGGGCCAGCATCGGCCCCACCTCAGGGCTGTGGTGAGAGCCAAGTACCTGTACTTAGTAAGTCCACTGGTCAGTGTGTAACAGCATGATGGGACAGAGGCACCCCAGCCAGGAGGCCAGTTGTCCCATGGGGTCTGCTCAAAGTCAAGGCCCCAGTGCGGAAGATACAGCTGCCACAGAATTGGTAAAAGCTCTTTATTCAGTCCGTGAATGGAGCTGGCCCGGCAGGGTGAAGGAAGGGGCTGCCTGTGGCCAGGCCTTCAGACTGTGGCCCGCTCTGAGCTGGCCAGGCGGGGTTGGTAGGCACCAGGTGCTAGTAGCTGCAGGGTGAACTCAGTGATGATGGCCGTGAGCCCCCAGACACGGTGGGGCCCATGCAGGAAGACAGGCAGCGTGTAGCTGAAGTGGCCATGCTGGCAGAAGTGGGTATACCCTTGGTTCTGCGCCTGCAGCAGGTGGGCCAGGGGGAGTGCAAATACCTCGTCCACCTGTGGAAGGAGGCAGTGAGAGGGCGGATGGAAGACTGCTGTGGACAGAGCCTCCCCCAGTTGGCCGACCCCCCACCCTCCCCCCACTCACCTCTTCAGGGTTGGGCCTGAGACTCTGGGGATCCAGTGGGCCCACACCAGCAAGCACTGGCACCACGCTGGCCTTTTGCTGGGGCAGGAGGGTGACAGGCAGTCAGGGGAGGCCTGGCCTTGGGGAGGGGAGCCTAGAGGGAGACCCCACCTTGCCATCCAGAGCCTGTCAGCATTGGAGGCCCCTGCCCTTGAGCCCTCTCCAGCCACGCTGACTAACTCAGGGCCCTCAAACTCGCTAGAGCCATCCAGCCCTCTTGGCCTTTGCAGACTGTTCCCTCCACTTAGAATAACCTTCCCTTACTTTTACTCCCCTAAAATCTCCCACTCATCATCCAATCCCTGCCTACCCTGTGAAGCTTTCCCCAACCCTCCTCCACCAAGCTGGGCAGCTCTGGCTTACCCCGGGGCCACCTCCAGCCCCAGAACTGAGCCTCAGGATCCCCCGTGAAAAGGAGCTAAGATACCCCTGGCCCCTCCCTGATGGGTTGTGTGGGAATGGAACAGGACCACCAGGCAGGTGTCTGGTGCTCCACCATGCTGTCTGCCTGCCAGAGGCCGTTACCATCCTCCTTGTCCCTGATGGTGGCCTCAGGGTCTGGCAGCCTTACCCTGTCATGCACAGGCCGCAGGACACCCCACACATGCTCCTCGGGCACAGTAAGGCCCAGCTCCTCGTGGGTCTCCCTTAGGGCTGTGTGCACCACATCCTGGTCATTGGGGTCACATTTGCCTCCTGGGAAACTGATAAGCACAGGAAGCCTGGTCCTTGGTCTGTTGGGGCCTTGGTGGGTGGGGGTGACAGCTGTGGCAGAGGGCTAGTCACCCACCTAAGCATCTTCTGTCTCTGTCTCTAGTTTGTAGTGAGGCCTCAGGCAAGCCACATGACCTCTCCAGGCTCAGTTTACCCCCCTGAACGACACGGGTAAGGGTGAGGCCCTGGAGTTCACACACGCAAGGTTTGCCTATGGTGGCCCCAGTGGCGCTATGACCCTAGTGCGTCCCTAGTTTCCACCGGGGGACGGGGGCGGGACCAGGGCGGGAAGCCAGGCAGCCCCGCCCCGCGAGCTGCTTCTGCTCCAGGATCCGAATCTCCCCTGAGTCGCCGGCAGGGGGCAGGGTCTTGCCTTTTTAGAGAGGCGGGCACAGCTCCGAGAGGTGTCCCCAGCCCGAGGTGGTGCGGGACGCTACTCGAGGGGTCCGGCGTGGCGACCGGACTGGGGCACCCGCGGCACCAGGCTCGGGGCGGAGGGACGCGGGGCGCGGCTCTCCCCAGACCCGTTCCCCAGAGGCGGAAACCCAGGCTCGGAGAGGCGAAGCGCCTCGCTCAGGTCCCTCCGGTCCTCCCAGCAGGGACAGGAGTTCCCTGCCGGTGTACCTGACGTCACCCTTGTGGCTCCCGGCCAGGCGGCTGGACCGCAGCGTGTAGAGCAGCGCCGGCACCCCGCGAACCGAGCACAGCGGCACCAGCACCGCGGCCGCCGCGGGGCGCGCGCGGAGCCGGGCCGTGGCCCCAGCCAGCAGCCGCCGGCAGCGCCGCTCACCCTCCGCTGACAGGCAGTCGGGCTGCATGTCCGGCCCCGCGCAGCCGGGACACGGAGGGCGCCGGGCCTCCGGAGGGAAGGGGAAGGACTGCACTAGCACTCCGCGTCCCCCGGGAAGCTGGGCGGGGCCGCGGGAGCGGTCGCCCCGCCCCGCCCCGCCCCATGGGGCTCCGAAGCCGCGCTGGCTGTGCCCCTTGAGGGCGGGACCTACACGAGAGGCGGGGCCTCAGCGGAACGGGGCGGGGGCCTGAGGGAGAGGCCCCGCCTCCAGGTGGTGGGGCGGGACCGGAAGGGGCGAGTCCCGATGACTTGGGTTCCGGCAGAGGGGCGGGCCTGGGCTGAGGGCGGAACTGGCGTTGGGGATGTGGAGGGAGTGCCTCAGGGGCCGTGGAGCTTCTCGCTTTGCGCGCGTCCAGCTTCCGGACCCGGCCCTTCTTTTTTTTTTTAAAGATTTTATTTATTTATTTGACAGAGAGAGACAGCGAGAGCGGGAACACAAGCAGGGGGAGTGGGAGAGGGGGAAGCAGGCTTCCCGTGGAGCAGGGAGCCCGATGCGGGGCTCGATCCCAGGACCCTGGGATCATGACCTGAGCCGAAGGCAGACGCTCAACAACTGAGCCACTCAGGCGGCCCTGGACCCGGCCCTTCTGACGGCGGGGTTCGGGAGTCGGGGTGTCGGGCTTCGAGGCTTTGCCGGGCCCCGCGTGTTTCCACGCTCACGTGTGCCCGTCCCTTTCCTAAGGACCTGACGTGAAGTGCTCCAGGATGTTCGCAGTCGGCGTTTCGGGGATCCACGGGGCGCCCCTCCCGGAGGCCGGGGACGTCAGGGGCTGCGGGAGGAGTGCCCAGCCGGGTTCCCCTCCGGGCTCCTCTCCTGGTTCCTGTGCGTGGTGCACGCCGCGCCGTCGGGCTCCAAGCGACCCGTTCCAGCCCCA